TTCGCCATAAAAAGGAATCTCCCCTTATTTCACTCAGGCAACAATTGGCGCAGACGGCTAGAGAGTGGTTTTTATTCCATAAAGGTTCTCCAGACGTTATTGACAGCCACAAGTGGTTGTATTTCACTGAATTCTATCATCCCTATCCCTGCAGAGCCACTTCGCCTTAGTAGCCAGTTTGCAGCGCAGACCTCCGCACGCAAAATCGCGCAACCGTTTAATTAGAACTAGATGACGCCGAGATGAACACTGGGTCGGCGTGGTGACCTGAAGAGGGCGTTGCAACCTAAAGGTACATTTTCTCGCCGTATTTATTCTAATCGTTGAAAATTAGCTTAAAGAGATCCACTAATACCGTGTCCAGACAAAACTAAGGATATTGAATTCTCATGAAATAATGACGGCGGACTCAATAAATAAGTTGTTCTTCAAAATTAAAGAAATTCGCTTCACGTTTCAGCCCGCATCAGATCACTACGACCACTCAGTCACTCCCTCTTCAGCAGCGCCTGTGTTTGAATTCCCCAAAAGAGTGCTCTTTAGCGAGAACACATGCGATAGTTAGAACCAGAAGTAATCGTCCCTCTGCCATTGGAACGCGTCGATACAATAGGTCAAGGAATCCCTGTTTATGGCTATTGCGCTGTAATTGAGTCCTATCCGTGTTGAGCACATCAGACGATTCAGCAAAATTGGACCGGAAGCGAATATGCGTCCGGACACTCCTTTAAGTTGATGTGCGCAAAATGACAGGACTTGGAATACAAACACAACATTAGTAACAGCCGTAAATTAGGTATAAAAAAGCAGTATTTCTACCATCACTAGATGATAACAGAAAGGAAAAAGGCATACAAGAGCACTACTAACGAAGGCTACATTATCTTCCAAATTGAAACGAATTGCAAAAAAAAGAAATCGAAATAAAATATGATGTTTACCTAAAACCGGCTTTGACGACATTTGGGAGCGCAGGATTCAAACCACTTGGGCCAATCTTCAGCATTTTGTACCAGTTGACGTACACGTTAAATGCCAAAAAAAGGAAAGCAAATACGCGATACAGCCATGCTAGAATATTCAAAGTCATTAACAATTCATATCATGATTGTTATAAGATATACCTTCTTCGAAGGCTGGATACCAATAAGTCATGATGAAGAAGATATTGATAAGAAATCCAATAGGCAATACTACCAAAAATATTCCCGAAGCAATCTGTAAGCAAGTTTTTCAGCATTTATATAGCTTCTAAATGTTGTGATTTTTATATTTAGAAGTATTTCTAAAGCAGCACTTTGGCTAGTCTCTAATAATGTGCAATTGAAGATGCAACATAGCAGCTTTGCTGTAGATTCCTGGTCGGCGATCGCCAAAAAGTTAGCAGTATAATTAGAGTCTTATAATTCCACCATTGGAGATCTGCCACGAAATTGCAAAGAAAAGTCGTAGTTATATTTACACTCTTAGATGAAATTACAAATTGGCTCGGTCATCACAATAAGCTCAAACTTCAGTGAAAATATATTAGCGACGGAGATTTCTGCGCGTGAAGGCACATAGTTCAGTGACTGTTCAAGGACCAAAAAATTATCCTATCAATGTTCACCTTGCTAGAATTTGCTTCTCTGCATGAACATGCAAATTGGTCCAAGAAATGTACGAGTTTATACTCCTTTTTTCAACAAAAAGCTTGTCATAAACTGAAAAGATGCAAAATAAAAGGCACTTATAAGTCTAAATCATTGACCAGTATCAGGACTGTCAGAAAAGACATTTATTAATCGAGGACCCTCTAGAAAATTGAGACCTATTTAAATCATATTAAACTCACAATGTCTTGCGTCTGTTTCGGGATCATTTTGTACAGCCGCGACTGTATATCACCGAATTCGTCAGAATCCATCCTGAAGAAAATTGCCCTAAGTATATGCGAAAAGCTTCTGCAGGTGCAGAACTACGGTGGATGAGCAAAATGAGGTTTGGCTAGAACAAACAGAAGAAAAGAGTAGGGAAAGCTGCAATGAATGAGTTCTGATCGTTGATGTGCAATGGCAGAGGATGTTTACGACAATATGCGTCTCTGCCTATTCTCAGCTATAACTCTGCCGCCTGCACTCTAACTCCGACATGTGCCAGCTTGGTGGTGGAAATTTGCTGACGATCTGGAAAAAGTGCCTAGAGGCTGGCGGCAGGGCTATAGACGAAGTGCAAGTTTGAAAAAAACTGTGAAAGGTCAGATGTGGAGAAATTTTAAATGGCCCTGGGTTGTAAATCGAAGTGGGTGGATGGCTATTTGTACCTCAGAGGGGAATCATCAAAAATGCAGTATTTTTTCCCCAGAACATTGTTAAAATATACTACGATTGAACTTTAGATAGATTTATGTAAACAAAAAAGCGAACAGATAGTTCTCTATATAAGTATAAAGTGAATAGCACTCACATCATAGATTAAACTAGAGTGATCAAACATAGTTTGACAATTTGTTAAAACATACATAATGATTAGGAATCATATTTGATTCCTATGTTATGATTATAAAATTTCTACGTGAAAAGTTTTTTTTTTGACAAGAAATATCAAGGTAGAGCATTCTGTAAATTTGATAATCTTGCAAATAACACCAACTCTTTTAAGCGGCCTTAAAAGGGTTGTTGTTTTTACTCTTCAAGTACAATGCTCAAAGGAATTCCACACTGGTGGTAGTGAACTGAAAATATTTCAGCTAGATTGTTTGAGCAGTTGGCCAAGATTGTTAGTGATCTTTATTGGCTGACGTTAACGTTTCGGCGGTTTCGCCTTCGTCGGAGCCTGAAAAGCCGAAGCCATAAGTAATCCGTCCTCTCAGATGTCAACAACAAGACTTAGGATATAATTCGTAAGGAGAACCAGTCAAAACATCACCAAAGCTTCGAGTAACCAGATAGTGGCCTTAGAAGATAGCTAACGAGGTGTTCGTGGACAGAACACCTATACTAGTACTGTACCTCAGCTCTTTTTATATGTGCCCTCATGAC